TGACTATACTCATCCCACATCTGGTATTCTAATCTTACTACAAAGCTACCTGCCGTTTTAAAAGCCAGAATTGGGCCCCAAAACATACATTGCATATGGATCTTTGGAAGAGCTCGGTAGAGGTGATTCTGTAGCAAAACTACATTGTGACGTATCAGATGCGGTAAATCTTAACTTCAGATATGATTTTTTATTCAGCACTTGTTGCTTAAAAGTCAAAATCAGTCCTTTTGCCTCTTTGACAATTTATACCTAGAAGGAAATAAATATATAATTTGAACATATAGGAAGCCACACTATTCGTACGTCATAAATATTGCAACCTGTTTCAGACCATAGTCTAGTTTTTGGGGCAAAGAAAGAACTTTGGTGGAGTTGTCCCCCCCCCTTTGGGTGCAGAAGGGTTTTATACCATGAGGATGTGCGCATATTGTCGTTAGATACATACCTGCTTTACCTGTCTAGTAAAATCTTGATGATTCTGTTTGGTTCCTGTTCTATATGCAGTCGTTTTTATAGCTGTTTGAGAGAGAGAGAGAGAGAGAGAGAGAGAGAGAGAGTGTCCTAGCTTCCCAGAGTCAAGAGTTTGAATGTTTTGAGGAACATTGATACTTTACTGTCCCACATTGCATCTCACTTTGTGTTTCTCCATCTCTTATTGTCTTTATGCTTCAGTATGACCAGTGTACTCTAGGATTGCTCCTTTTAGCTGATTGCTGTTAATTGATCAGGTCAATATATTGACACATACAGCTGAAGTAAAAAGACCACCACAGCAAAGAAAAGCCATAATCAAATTACAGAAAAAGCATGAAGCTGAAGATATGTGTGCACTCTATGACAGGAAGAATGAAGGATTGACTTCTTGTAGGAAAAAGCCAAAACGGCGCTGCCTGGATACGAACAAGGGTTCTAAAAGCCCTAGAAAAGAAGACACTATCGTGGGAGACTATACTGTACTTAAAAGCCAGGTATCAGAGGAAGAGAATATGAATGAACAGCGGAATGGTTCTGGAGATTTGGGACCCTCAAGAGCATATACTGCAGCTTGCGCTCTAAAACGTGCAGCTTCTCCCAAACTTGAAGTAAGTTATTGCTTGGGGCGGTAATCGACAATTTGTATGCAAGGTTCAACATCTTATTTTAATAGTCATAATTCTTTTTCTTCATTTCAGAAAGAAGACTCTGAACGGACGCATGGTGAAGTTAAGAATGCTGTCCAAAAAAGCTCGTTATCACATGATGGACATCATGAAGGAATTTCATCCCCTGACCATATTCTGTCTGGAACATCCACAAAAGACAGTCATGAAAAAGAAAAAACTTATGGTATGCGTGAAACTAACGGGCTTTGTGAATGTAACCTGGTATATGTACCTTCCACATTGATTTGAAATTATGCACTCTCCCAGCCTGGGTAAATCAGGTCAATTCAACAAATTTTACAGAACAATCTGAATCAAAAGGCACGTGCATGTGTGCTGAGGAGTCTCCTAATGGAATCATTCCCAACGTTGAGCATGATTGTGACAGTTCCTGTGCTGGTAAGATTTTTTTCTTCACTAGGGGGTGAAATGTTTCCATTCAATATCATTCTGTGAAATGTGAGCGACACTGACACTAATAGCTCTTTGAAAGAGGGGACTAACACGGGTCGTGACTCCATGCTGCACAAGTCTTGTGAACAAGGTGCGATAAAGGATTTTGCAAGACATTTGAATCTTCTAGACTGTAATCAGCCTGATGTTAGAACAGAAGAAGAAAAACCATACAGTCGGTTAAATTTTGCAGGGGCATGTTCTGAAATCAAGAATCACAAAATTGAGTCACTTAGAAATGATACGAGAACAGCAAAAGCTTTCCTTGAAAATGATGATGCGTTAGAGACCCAATACGGGAGTGCTGTATGGGACATATTTCGCAGGCAAGATGTGCCGGTGCTGATGGAGTACCTGAAAAAACACTACAGAGAATTCCGCCACATAAATAATCTTCCTGTGAATTCTGTGCGTGTCTAGTAAATTTTCTTAGTTTGCTTAATTGATGCTCTTTTCTTAATTCACCTGCTCTTATTGCTTTTCAGATAATACATCCAATTCATGACCAGACTCTTTATCTAAACGAAAGACATAAAAAGCAGCTAAAGGAAGAATTTGGTATGATGTTGTGTCTTAACTAGTTATGTCATTTGGCTGAATTTATGCAACTAGGAATTTCGCTTCAGGCATTGAACCATGGACATTTGAGCAACACCTTGGCGAGGCTGTTTTCATACCTGCAGGGTGCCCGCATCAAGTGAGGAATAGACAGGTAAAAATATAAACCCACACATCTCAAACTGTCATATGCCTCTTTAGGGTGCAAGGCTAGGAACGGTAGAAAGGGGGTGGGGGTGGGGGTGGGAAGAGAAGGTGGGAGAGGGGGAAAAAAAAACCAACATTACTGATCACAATTGTACATAACCATCCTATATGTAGCCATCCTTGATCAGTCATTTGCAAGTTTTTAACTTCGGGAAGTTTCCTTATTCAAGTTTGAAACATTTGTGTCTGTGTGAGTGTTTTCTCCCAGTCTTGCATAAAAGTGGCTCTAGACTTTGTTTCACCTGAAAATGTTCAAGAGTGTGTTCGATTGACGGAGGAATTTCGGCTGCTTCCGAAGAAACATAGATCGAAGGAAGATATACTGGAGGTAAAGTTAATCTATATCACATTATGACCTCAACCCAAGCGCTATTCAGTCCTGATGTTATTATGAAGTGTTTTCATTGATCTTAGACTTGTGAATGCTTTATTCCTTATGCAATAATGTCACAGATTTCATTCTTTCTATTTAGTTTCAGAACTGCCAGAGTATTTATCGAAATGATTAGTAATTTATTCAATACACGAGTTTTAAATGTTTGTCTTCTATTAGGCTTTATACTATGTGCTATTATACTAAGAGAATTCCAACATACTGCGTTTAAGATGTTCTTTACACCATACAATTATTTGTTTATAGATAAAGAAGATGGCACTGTATGCTGCCAACGCTGCTATAACTGAAGCCATGAGATTAATGCGGAGGATATGAGTGAGTTCGTTCTTGATCTGATGTTATCTTAAGCCGTCTTGCGTTATTCTCAAAATTAGGGTTCCACTGCACACAAAATAAATGAAAGGCTCCGTGATTTATTGATTTAAATGGGTTGAACTTGCGGCTTGTGCATGTGTGAGCCATTTTTTTGAAGAGTTTGCTGTGTTCAGTCTTTTGCTTTTATTGGGTGCTTTTGATAGAATGTACTCTTTTTGCACAGGTCTAATTGTCATCATCATACAAAACGTGGGAAACACTACAGGAAACCTGTATTGTGCAGTGGTGGTTTTCCCCCTTTTGGTTTTGGATATGCAAGTTGTATGATACAAAGTAGGCCCCCTTTTTTTGTATTTTACCAATTCTCAACTTCAATTTATTGGCCTGGGATCCTGGAGTGTAAATGTGACATGCATGGAATTGCGTTTGTGCTTCTGAAATAGGTTGCACTAGCAAGCTGAGTTGATTTCAAGTTTGATCCCTCCTCCGTGAAAAGAGGGTTATTGGTGGTAGTGTAAGAAAAAGAACAAGAATAAAAATGAAAAGCCAAATATAAATTTGAGAAAGTATATTCTTATATTCGAAGTTAAATTATAATTATAATATCCTTGTGATTTCATGTAATAACATGTTACATTAGTGACTTATTAGCATGTTAATTAGTTTAATGTAATGGAAAGTTAAATATATTTAAACTGGGCAAATTCTGGAAATTCATTGAATTTCTGAAAATTCCGGGTGTGTCATAGTTTTATTTATCTATTATTTTCTTTATTTGAATTATATATATAATTTACAGAAATTGAAATTTATACAATGCACATAATAAATAAAAAATGAACGAATACACGTATACCCTAGGAAAACAAAACATAAACTAGATTAGCACTTATGCTTATTTTTAGCATGTTTTAAGAAAAATATTAAATTATATTAACTCTCCTTTAGAATATAATAATTTGTCAACTTTACCTTTACTTAGTATATATACTTTTAAAAAAAATAACTATATATATTACAACAAATAAAGAACAAAATAGGATTAATAAAAAATTTCTCTCTATCTTAGTAAGGGAGTATATTTCAACAGTAAGACGATAGATTTTTCGACAAGAAAAACAGCAAGACGATAGTTTAGCACCCTCTCGTACTTATTTGTAAAAAAAAAAAGAGTTTTAAAACCGGAGAAAAAGAGGGAAGAAAGACAACTTCACTGCAACATCCTTAACCAGTTTTCTGGACAACCTTAAACGAGTATTATTTTCACTTCAGGGCGGCGGCAGCACTGTTTTGTGCGGGTTTCTTCCCTGACACCCTGCCACCCAAAAAAGAGAGAGAATATAAATAGGTAACAAAATAAAGTAAACATATTTTATAATATAAATTTATATTATAAAATGAGTTTTGTATCTAGAACTGAAAAAAGAATGCCTCGTTTTACATGATTTTGTACTGCTGATAAAAAAAAAATAGCATCACCTCCGAACCATAACACAGAAAGGGGGAATTCTACTCTTCCCGATGTTTTTTTTCTGCCTCCAATTCGTACTCCGTCTAACAACGTTAGATATTCTCGAGGCCTCTCTGTTTTCTGAATTCACATATTCTTGATCTTCCAACTTGTCCATGCTTCCACCATCTTCATCTTCTTTCCTATCTTCAGCTGTAACATATCTCTTTTTCAAGTTTCACCCATACGATTAGCTGAATTTAAGCAAAACCCACCCAGTTCGCGCTCTATCCTATTACAATATATTCCCAAAATTTACTTTTTCAGTGTAGTATCATTCAACTTTGCGTGAAACTCTTCGACCGGGTCACATGGCTGCCGTGCTTCGATCGAAGCCTTACAAGGAGACGGCCTCTCTCACTCTCGTTCAGTTCAGATATTTTGTGTACAATTATATGCATGCTGGTCGCATGCCCAGTTCTCATTGTACGCGTCGCACAAAGTGGGATGAGCGCTTCATGAATACTCCCTATCACTTCACTTCCTTCAAGCCCGTCTCGTTGCGCGGCGACTTCATCGAAAAGGGCACCCAGTTTATGGAGGGTAGGGGAAAAGCTCAGAATTGTAATAAAAACTTAGGTGACAAAATGGGCAGTGAGTCCAACTTTGTTACTTGTTCATACGGGGACCCGCCCGAGGTGTGGTCGGGTGGCGGAATTGTTGTTCGGCCGGAAATACGACTTTTAATGTTGTCCGCGGCGGCGGCGGCGGCGGTCCTAGTCCTGGTTCAGGAGGTGATTCTGGGTCGAATTCAAAGGATGAGGACTGGGGTGGATCCAATTTGGGGCATAATCTTCCAACGCCAAAGGAGATTTGTAAGGGACTCGACAAATTTGTAATTGGACAGGAGAAAGCCAAGAAGGTGACTCTTTTCTCATTATGTTTGTCGTAGTACTCAGTTGTATTACTTAATTGGTTATTAGCTGTAAAGTCCTTGCCTATATGCTTAAAGGAGAATGCTAGTTGTAATGCGTTATTGTTCTTCTCTGTTTATTGGTGTTCAAGGCGAAGTTGGTGAGCTTACACATGATTACCTGGTTATCTACTAAGGATGACCTGTGTATGCTACATGTTTTGTCTGCTTGATTAAATATAATGCGGTAACTATACCCAAGAAAATATATGATTCAATAATTTTGCTTGGGACTGCTTCGCTTCTTCGCCTACAATGCTTTTACAAAAGGGAAGACGTACACTTTTTTTTTTTTTTGGGGTATCAGGTTACCGTAACTATGTATCTCAAATGCAGGTGCTTTCTGTGGCAGTTTACAACCACTATAAGAGAATATTTCATGAATCTTCGCACAAGTGGTTAGTATACTACTTGAGCACACTGCAATTTCTTTCCTTGTCTCTTCTCTGCTTGTGAGCTTGGTACAAGTGTAAGCCAATTATGTCTGTTACTATCACCCTTTTGTTGATCACAGATAGTTATTGCATCCCAAGACTCGCTAAAATAGTGATGTTACTTTTGACTTGTTCTTACTATTTGGAACGTTAGGCCTGCAGGAGATTCACATAATGACAAAGCCGATACTGTTGATGAAGATAGAGTTGAAATTGAGAAGAGCAATATTCTTTTGATGGGGCCAACAGGATCAGGTGAATTAGTTTTTACTTTTCTCTTAAATAGAATTGCCTTTAAGGTTCGTAACTCTGCTTTATAGTCCTTTTCCTTGTCATAGCATGTTGATTCGATCTTGATTCTATCCTTGAATCATACTCACTGAGTAATTTTACCGTATTGTTACTTTTGGTTACTAGTCTAACTAATTTTTCTTTGATGCCATTTCAAGGACAGGAAAGACATTACTGCCAAAACCCTAGCACGGTTTGTAAATGTTCCCTTCGTTATTGCAGATGCAACTACACTCACTCAGGCAAGTTAAGTAAAGTAAATACAATGAAGTAATTCACTTTGGTCTCTAAACATTATAAACAGTGTACTATATGTGTTCACAAAAATTGTGGACAATTAATATGCATTATGAACACAGACAAATTAGGAGCTGTATATTTGGCTAATGCTTGTTTTCTTGCGTGTACATATATGTACATTTAGTTTTCTCCTGTGATTTGAATATTCGTATTTATTCCAAGATTCTTTTGTATTATCCATCAGTGTTAATATTGTTTTGTCTAATTGACAATGAAATAAAGGACCATACATAGGTCAAGTTCCTTATATCCATTATGTCAAGTTCTCTAATCACACAATCATGTGTTCTATTTTTGAAATATTTGCATTTAATATCATTTAATTATAAACCCACATGGGAAAAAACAAAAACACATGGCCATATGTGGTTGGAGAACTTGACATAATGGATATAAGTAACTTGACCTAAGCATTTTCCTTAAGTAAAATTTGTTGTGATAATATTTTTATAATGTTGATAGCATATTTTTGCAGGCAGGATATGTTGGGGAAGATGTGGAGTCAATATTATACAAGCTTCTTATGGTAAATACTCTGATATTTATGTTAATTATACATTATATTCATTGTGCTTTCTTTCAATGGCTGGGACTAGGTCAATAATTCTTTTCCGACCTTCTTGGATGATATTTGATATGTGAATTGAACATGTAATATATAATTTAAAATTAGTTTTTAGAAGCATATTTCATCCACTCTTAGTATGTTAGGTTGGTGTCTGTGTTGGTCAAATAATACTGCGTCAGAAGTTTATTTTATTTTATTTTATTTTATTTTATTTTATCTGTTTATTTTGGTAGAAGGGTTTTCTATATTATCTATATCCGGAATATAAACATGGTACAGTTGAATGTTGCTTCAGACATCAGAAGGTAAGAGAGGTCTTTCTTTGCAGTCTACTAATCAAAACCTCTTTGCCAAAGTAGTGGGAAAGAGGGTTAGTCTTCTATGATGTCTGTATCCATGCTGGATTATTATGGTGGGAGGCTGAAAAGGAAGTTTGAGTTGTTAAATTAGTTGATTTGTGAACATCAAAAGGATGCAAAGTCTAATTCTCTACACAAGAATTTCTAATTGCCAGTCCACTTGCATTGTTCAAATAAAGCAGTATAAGCCTATTACGCCTATTTATTAGTCCATGTAATCTGCTTTTGTCCTTTGTCATTTATATCTTCTTAGCATTGTTGTTTTCTTAAATTCTCTTGATGATTATTATTTATTAGGGTGAGATGAAGTTTGGCTTTCAATAAGTTGGCCTGATTAGACTTTATCATCCTGTGGTTTATTGGCAATGGAATGGTCTGAGGTTTAAGTTAAATATCCGTCGTTCGATGATATAGTTCACACTTTTTATGTTGTGTCATAATTCACACCTTTTATTTCTACCTCTAGTTAGAAAAGCTGGCAACTAGCCTATTTATCTCATTTGAACTCTGCTATGTAACTGTATGTGCATTTTATGAATAGATTTAATGGTGCATCGCGTAATTTCAGGTTGCAGATTACAATGTGGCGGCTGCACAACAAGGCATTGTTTACATTGATGAAGTTGACAAAATTACCAAAAAGGTTCCCCTAGAATGTCCTTTTTTCCCCATTATTGTTTGTGTTTGTTCATTAAAATTTAACATTTCCCCCCTCACTGTATCCCGCATCTTCTGCTGTTTACCTTTCAGGCTGAAAGCCTTAACATCAGTAGAGATGTCTCAGGGGAAGGTGTTCAGCAAGCATTATTAAAGATGCTTGAGGGAACAGTAAGTTCATTTCA